GTGTTACTCATTTATTACTTAAGTGAAAAAATTCGTTAAGTTCAACAAAAGACATTGACTTGAGTGAAGGATAGGCAACACGGTGCATAGTTCAGTGATTATTAATTTTTAAGTTCACCTATAAATTAGCAATGCTTGGCAAAGTGACCATTGAGATACATTTTTAAGTTCAGCTATTAAGTAGTAACAATTTCGTTTTCTCTCAAATCAACCTCTGTGAAACAAGAAACTAATTAAAATGAAGGGAAAAAAAAAAAGAAGAAACTCAAATCGACCTCAATTTCCTTAGCACTAATTCGAACTTTCTTCTATTTTTATTTAATTTTTATCTGTCAATTTATTTCAGTATGTTCCTACTATCTCTTTCTGGCTTTTTATGCTAAGCTCGAGATACGGTGGATTGATGATAAGTGTGTTTTACACACTTATTTAGGTCACAAAACATGGAAAAATGTTGATGTATATGTTGAAATATGACCTAATTCGATATAATTTGTGTTTGTAGGATTACATTGATGGATGGAATGAAAAATATGAGAAAATGAACGAAAAAGGGCCAAAATAGAAGAATATGAAACTCCGAGGACCAAAATGCAATTATTCAAAAGATGACCCGAATGACGAATCAAGCATGAGGTTGAGCTAAGTAACATATGGTGATATCATAGGATGTTAGAAGAAGAAGGAGAAAAAATCAAGGTCAAAAGGTGGATGAAACCAACTTGGGGACAAAAGTGAATCAAAGGAAAAACAAGTTCTACCATGCAGTCGCATGGTAGAAAACCCATGCAGTCGCACAAGCATTTACAGGAGTTGAACAGTAAAAATTTTATATAACCATGCTGTCGCATGGGTTTATACCATGCAGTCGCATGGTTCATTCCGAGCGCGAAAATTCTAGTTTCCTTATTTGAATCAAACACTTATGGTAATACATCTATGACTTCTTTATAACCCTAATCTCGTCCAGAAAGAGGGGCTATGCATTCTTAGAGAGAAGAATGTTGGATATATTACACCGATAATGTGCATATTATATTAATCAAGAACATACCGCGAAATATCATTCGATTTACCGAAATCTGATTTGAGAAGACAAAATAGTGATTACCGACTTCCAATTAGGGCTGGGCAAAATATCCGAACCGAACCGAACCGA